TTTCTTTATCTTTTTTGTAACGTACATGTACATTTTGTTACGGTTCGAAAGAAAGAAAGAAGACAAGAATGTTTACGTTTTTGTTTACTTAAAAAGGCTAAAGAGAAAAAGCCATTACTCTAAGCTAATGAATATAGTGTATTTTCATCGTCAGAGTCACTGTCTGGTCCGCTATCATCTGAAATATCGGAGTATTCAGCTGCATCGGCCAGAGAATTCAAAAATGTGGATGATTCTTGTTTAAGATGTTCTGGATGATGGCGTGCAAATGATAAGTACCATATAATGGACGCTGAATGAGCACAGCAGCCTACCACTCTAGCTCCGGCAGGACATGTACAATACCAACCTAGGATTTCTTGAGATGAATACCTTATCCATACATCATACGAGACGGAATTCCTGTGTCTCGACTGAATTTTAGCTTTGATGAGATCAGGTCGATGCTTTCCAACTTTAACTACATATTTACCGTCGGCCGCCAAGTGCTCGACTGTGTACGACTTAGCTTGCTTCAGCTGATACGTTCCTATAAAAGGAAAGACACGCTTTTGCCTTGATTAGAAATTGATTCCTAAACTCACCAAGTGTTAAATCATTCAATTGTTTAAACGTTAAATGTGGGAAATCCGGAACTGTGTCAGATGCGTCCAATTCTTTCCACTGAAGAGGTTTTTCTGCTTTATCTCTGAGTTTAGCGACAAGATCTCCCAGTTCGTTCGTCTCATCTCGTAAGTGTAACATTTTCTGAGCTAATTCTTTGTCTTTCTTCATAGACTGAATGAATGGTGCTCCATAACTGTTCTGTAAAGCACACACAATTGCAACAAGGTCGCCAACAGTTTTGAGAAGAGAGTTCGGTAAAACCTTATCAAAGAGTCGCCATTGTTTAATTCTACCGTTTGCGCTCTCGATCACCCATCTAATTTTCGTAACAAATCGTGTTTGATTAGCCGATGCGGTGTCAAACTGTTTAGCACCTTTTGATAAAAATGCTGGCATATGTGTTTGATATCCCAGAAGATGTAAATAGTCTAGTGCATCTCGGAAACCGCGATCAATAACAAGGATATCCCCTTTTCGGAGCCACTTTGCAATGTTTTCTTTGTTGTGACAAAGAATATGCTTCGTGATCTCTGCATCATTGTTTTTATAGTCGGCGAAATACGGCCCCATACAGGCGACAATATAACCAGTCGTCGTCGTGATTAGCATAGGTTTGACTAAAGGTTTGCCTTTATGAAGACTAAAAGTTCGTCTCTGCAGCACATTATTTGCACTTTTTTGAAAGTAAATATAAGTGCCATCCAAAATCAGAATTACACGGCCAGGTTGATCAGATAAGAGTAAGTCAGCTAATGGACGTGTATGTATGTCAATCACATCTCGACGTGTAATGTGTTCAAAACCGAGAAAATGCGGAACAAAATGTTCTATTAAAGCTTTGCGTGCACTGTGAATCACACGTGATACTGTTCGTTTATCTTTAAACAATAATAGAGTAGCCAATACTTGATGACTTACACCGAGTCTCAACTTCATTAATAAACAGGCAATTGCAGTTCGCGCAGAACGATTCGACGTGTCTTTCAAAGAAGTTCGAGGAATACGAGAACAAAGATTATTGAAATCTTCTAATTTCAGTCCAGTCAAAACGTAGTAATTGTCAGATGATAAACGTGTAAACCCATCAAAATCCAATGGAGGGGTATTAGAAGCATCTTGAACTGTTGATACTTTAGATAAAAATTCATGTTTAGTAGCGGTAAAAATATCAAGAAGTTCTTCAAGTGATAAATCACACCTCTTTTCTCCATGTAGAATTAGTTGCAGGGCTTGTGTAGTGAAATATCCGCTATCAACATGCCTAACACAACATCTTGCGCCAGATACGATTACAATATTGTGTTCTAAAAATGCACGAACTCGAGTGTAACTTTCAAATTGTAATGCTGAAGAACCAGTATCACTGTAATAGTATAAACACACCGGACAGCGGTTATGCGACTTGGTTAAACGATGAAACGGTAAAGTGATGACAGAAGTAACGGAAGAAGTTGTTGAGGAAGCAGACGGACCAGCTGCTGTTACTGGAGTAGTGCTGGAACTAGGTGGATCAACAATCATATTAAATGAGTCAGACCGAGTGAGAGATGTAGTGTTCAAAATTTCTGTTTGTGTTCCGATAGTGACGAAAGTACGTTCAGTAACCTCATTTGGTTCCATAGACACTTCGCTGTGAGTATTGGTCGATGACCGAAACTGATTGTCACAAAATTTATAACAAGCATTACATAGAAGAATATGGAGCTGAGTGACGTCGACTAATTTTGCGATATCAACAGCGCCAGTTGAAAACGTGTAGCGACAAAGTTCTGGATAGTTTTGTAGTAATCGTTTTCGATCCCCGCTTCGAAAAGTTCTGTTGCATCTTTTACACGTCTCAGTGCTTGACGCAGACAACATTTCACTCTCCTTGTATTTAAAAAACTAAAACTCACTGATAGTTAAAACAACACGAAAAAACCTACTTTTCGATGA